CCAGAGTGTGGCCAGGCTCAAATTTCCCCACAATTTCTGAAGCCTGAAATGAGAAAACATTGGCAGGGATCAATTTTCCCCCAAGTTCCTAAAATCCTGGCATCTATGGGGCATGCGGGGCTATAGTTGCTCAGATTTTGGGAATTGTGGGGAAATTTGATCCCTGCCGATGTTTTCGCAATTCAGGCTTCAGGAATTTTGGGGAAATTTGATCCCTGCCGATGTTTTCGCATCCGAGGCTGCCCACGTCCCATAATCCACTGCTTACAAAAAGCGGGTTCGGGTGGATCATGGGGGCGGGGGGCGTCAGCATATATATACATATATATATATATATATATTTATATATACACTATATATATATATATACATACATACATACATACAGTTGTACAGTATACAAACACATGCACAAATATTGATATTGATATTGATATTGATATTGATATTGATATTGATATATATATATATATAGTTATTTATCTGTTTACCTGCATACATACCTACATACATACATACATAAATACATACATACATACATACATACATACATACATCCATACAAACATACATACATATATACATACATACATGCATACATACATATATACCTACATACATACATACATACATACATACATACATACATCCATACAAACATACATACATATATACATACATACATGCATACATACATACATACATACATACAAAAGTATAGTTCACAAACATATGTTATACACATATATACATGTACACATCTGTATACATATATATATATATATATATATCGTGCAGACACACGAAACAACAGTCGCAGCCGGGTCACATGCTGGCTCCACTCAGGAAGGAGCCAGCAATCATCAGCAGGAGGATCGCGCAAATTGGCACAGATGCCGGCCTGCAAAAACACTGTGTGATTTGGTGCGGTTTGATGCTGCTGTTCTTGATGATGCTGATGTTAATGTTGCTGTTGCTGTCGCCGTTGCTGTTGCGGCTGCGGTTGCTGTTGCCGTTGCGGCTGCAGTTTTGCCGGTTGCGGTTGCGGATGCTGTTGCAGATGCTGACGCTGATGCCCTGATGCCGATGCTGTTGCTGTTGCTGCTGATAATGATGTCGTTGCCGTTGTTGTTGATAAGGCTGTTGATGTTGTTGCTGCTTCGCCGGCTGCAGTTGTACTGTTTTGGCTTTTACGTAGGTCCGAGTGGCGCAGTGCAGTCCAATCCTCTGGCCGGATTAGAGGTATAGACCAAGCTCAGAGTATTGCTCCTTCTGGGAAGCTGCAACATCACCGCGCCTGTTGTAGTCCAGAAAGAAATATATCCAGACGTGGATCTTCTCGTACAGCCACCAGTTCCAGACAACATATGCGAAGCCAAAGTACAGGGGAAAGATGAAGTGGTAAGGAATCCTGACACAAGTGCACAGAGTGGAAGCCCTGAAGCATCGGTAGAATCTTATGATACTGCGCTTGCCAAAACAAGTCGCAACTACTCCCGACTCTCCAAGTAGCACGACCAGTTGGACGGTTTTGAAGGGACTGAAGCTGCAACAAGAGCTGATGCCGCCCAGTGTCAGTGGAAACTGATTCAGCAAGGCCTCTGCGGAGTGGGTTTAGATGGCTTTAGAGAACACAGCACGGCCTCTCAAACGCAGTGGGTGTATTGTGCTTGTTGTTGGCCATCTCTCTGTCTGAATTCCTCATTCGCACTCTCCTTGCTTCCCTCTGTCTCGCTTGCAGCGCTGCAAGGCCTCCGTCGTCACAAGCGCCACATTTACGTTGTGCAAATACAACTGGAATGGGGATAACCTCGGAAGTCGCTGCAGCGTAGGCGTCCGCCCCGAGTCAGATCTCAAGGCTTGCGTCAGTCGCGGTTTTGGGCCCTGGTGGCTTCAGGATTCGGGGCTACGGGGCCTTGCCAAGGGGAACCTTCTTCGTAGCAGAATTCGAGCCAACTGGTCTGGCGGATTGACTCACAAATCGCGGCCGTGCGTGATAAAATTTGATAGGCACCACAACGTCTGTTTGCTTTCAAGCGGCAGTTCGCGAAGTGCCTCCTGCTTCCTGAGATGGGATGCGGAAATCCCCGGCGGGCACCCCGCTCTCTCCCCCACCCTAGACTTGGGCCGGTTCAGCTTTCCAGCGGTCTCAATCGGCTCAGGGTTCTCCCTTTGGGTTCTGGGCTTGATGGCTTCGTGCTTGGACAGAGAGGGGTGAATAAAGGGTCTGGGCTGGAGGAAATTATTGGGCTTTGGGCTTCAGGTTAGTGCTATCCAACCACCTATAGAGGCACACGCCGTAGTCATCATGGAGCTTTCACAGGCTGAGTCCAGGCAAGAGGCCCAGCCAACCAAGCAGCCGGAATGAGGAAAACCCATACTGCCCAAAAGACAAGCCAGGAAACGCCAAATGCCTCAGCGAAACAAAATCAGCATTCAGCAAGAAGACCAACAGAAGCAGAAGGGCTGTTTCTGTCAACTATGGCACGCTTTTCAAGCGGCTGAAAGGTTCGGCGGGCGAACTGGGCTCCGGGCGATGTCGAATGCGACCCACGTGGGCGATGCAAGCACCCAAGAAGGCACGATGCCGACAAAGTAATACATGGTGCTCAGGCCTGGGCACGACCCCAGCTGGTTAGCCCGGAGAAAATGCGGAACTTTCGCGTCCAAGCGCTGCCAGAACTACACCCCCTGTAGATGGTAGCAACCAACCTACTTGTTGGAAGCTCTTGGTCAAGCACACAAACCCCCAACTGCCCAATCATCCGAAAATGCCAACAGAAACAGAAGCATAACCTGCAAAGAAGCAGAAAGACTTGTCCAGGCAGGGAGCTGGTCACCCAGCCGAAATACAAAGCTTTCCACACCCAAGTCCTGCCAGGGAGGCTTCAAAATTTGAAGAAGACAGCAGCTGTTTCGAAACGCAGAATCTGTACAGAAACTCGTTGCAGAAACGTGGGCGCAAATCCCACTAAGCGGCAACCATCTCCAAGTCAAGTAAATCTCAACCGTTCGCTTGCAAGGCAAAAGATCTGACCGTTAGTGGGCAAAAATTCTAGTTGAAAACTTGAGATGTGATGCATCTCCCATAGTACCGCGTCTCTGCCCCTGGCCGTCTGGAGCCTTGCCTAACTGAGGTCTTGACTATTCCTTTCCCCCGCGATCTGAGCGTTTAGGAGTGCAGCGGTATCGACCACTGGAAACCACCCCCGGGTCAAAATGCCTCGTGTTGCTAGTGGTGCTGCTGCTCCAAGCGCTGCCAAAACTGCACGACTCATGCTGGCCAAAAGTGCACGACTCATGCTGGCTAAACTGAAGATGTCTGGCGATTGTCCACATCAGCATTTGCGGCGATGCAGCTATGCTGCGGGAGAATAAAAGACTTTGCAAGTCTGTCAATGCACATCTATGAATCAATGGCTACCGTCTGCCGGAAGCCCTACCTCACATGTTTCTGGCTTCCGATCTTGATACCGAATTACAGTCGTACCTGAAACTATGGATCTGGCGGCCGCTGAAAGTGTCATAACCTGTATTGACAAGATGCTCTGCTGTTCCGCTTGGCTGTGCAGGTGTCAAGGAGAAAGATGCAATCGCAAGCCACAATTGCGTGTGCCTGGCTTTTCCGATATTCCAGGCATCACAATCTGCACCCAAAATCCCGGAACCCCGCGAACGCCAACAGGCAAACGGTCCACAACGTGCAAAACACCATGAGAACTTCGAAGCCGCCGAAGAACAGGGGGATGACCTTCTCTTCCTGCGGAGCAAATGATGTTGGAATCTTAAGTTTGGGGCGGCTGGGATGGCTTGTTGTCTGAAGGTCAGCAGCTGCAGACGGCAGAGTTGGCAAAAGAAAGCAATGAAGAGTGTGTCGACAATGTGGTGCCAGGAGCAGTGGCGATGCAGAGAAAGCAAGACGGAAAATGCAACATGGAAAGTGGTCCTGATCAGCAGATCGGCAGCAACGACCAGCACCGCCACCCATTCTACTGATAATTACCTGCTACTACTGCTACTACACTTCTACTTCTACCACTACCATTGCCGCTGCCACTGCCACTGCCTCCATTAACACCACCACTCCGGCAACGGATGCGACTGCGCCTGCTGCTGCGCCTGCGACTGCGACTATTAAACTACTATTTTGCCTCAGCCCTGCGCCAGCAAGATTCAAGATGTGCAGCACCAAGTCCAGGCGCGACGCGGGTACCCAGGACCTAGACCCCAAGAGGAGAGGATCTAGGTCCTAGGGAAGCTCCTAAACCCAGGGCTCAGGTGCAAAGGACCCGGTAACAGCCCGGGTTCTGAAACCAGGCTACCATGCGGCGCAGCACCAAGCCGCGGAGCAAAATGATGGGACGACCGGAAGCAGCAACACCCCAACCCGTACTCCAGGAAGAAACTCCCAAAATCAAACGACTTCCCGACCGGACAGACCGGACGGGAGTCGAGAAAAGAACTGGGAGGAGTTTGCAAGAGATGCGAGATGACAGAGGCGAGTGAGGCAGAAGGGACGGAGGGAGCCAAGGCCACTTCTCTTGACATTCGTCCCTTGACCCGAAAAGCTTAAGGTACAGCCGCAAAACATGGTGTTACATCAGACCCTGGCTGTTTGATCATTGGTTCGTCACCATGATGAATACACTGCAGGCATCAGCAAATCAGGCAACCATGGTTTGTAGTGTGAATAATAATCACGAGGGTACAAATTTGAGGGTTCTGAAACATATGATCGTCACCAGGATGAATACATTGCATGCATCTGGAAAACCTCCGCAAACCCGAAAATGCCCTCCCAAGAGCCACGGAAACATGGCGTCCTCTACACTATCATCTACTACTACTACTACTACTACTACTACTACCACTACTACTACTACTACTACTACTACTACTACTACTACTACTACCTCTTCTTGTTATGCTGCTACTTCTCCCTGTTCAACTACTACGGTTGCCACAGCTTAACCAGCATTGCAACGGTGGCGTCCTCGTTTGCATGACGGTAGCGGATGACAGCTTTGGCGCATGCACCAAAACTCAGCAAGAAACTCACCTCGGAAGCTTGGGTTCGAAAGTTTCTTGACGGTCACGCATGGAGCTGAAAACACACGACTCTGAACATACCATAATCGCCGTGGCATGTGCATACTTACATGTTTGCCGTGTCGTGCTTTGACGTCGTGGGGAAGCGGAGCTCATGCATGGCATGCTGGGGGTTCCGGGAGTTTTGCTTCGGTCATCGTTCTGCTGTGTTGGCAAATCCAGTGTGGCCACCACCAGCCTGCACATCTACAGAGCCCAGGCGCCGAACCCTCAAATCTGCCATAAAAAAGCACTTGTGAACGCCCTCAAGAACCGTCCACAACATAAATGTGCATGGGAAGGCGCAAATCGCGTTACAAGTAGACCACCAGCGCCAGGTAGCAGATCGGAGCCCTCCACTGCACGCCTGCCAGTCGCTGTAACAAACGAAGTAGCGTGAGGTGTCTTTTCTGATTTTGCCAAGCTGGGCTTCATTAGCTCAAAACCTTGAACCCAAACCCCCACCCACACACCCTTCCTGGCCATCGTGACCAGAAGAGGAGCCCCGACCTTCTAGCTTGATCCCGTGGTAAGGACAAACCAGAGAGCATCAAGAAAGGAACCTTGAGCAAAACACCATGTCATGCCGCAGCATGCTCCTGGGGTCCAGCTTGTAGAAACCCATGGAGTCATCCCATACCCATCTGGTGTTGAAGGTCACTGTCACGACCTAAGCGCCCCACGGAAACGCAAAAGTGCAACAAACAAAAAGCAAAACTACGTCTTTCTGGGCCCTTGAACCTGGCCTACTTGAAACTGACTTGTAGAGCACGGAACGCTCTGAGGGCGCAACGAACATGGAGAGAACCGCAATCGCCGTGGGACGAAAGCCGTACAGCACCTCACCATCAAAGCTAATCCGAAAACCTATGACCTGTGCTATGACCTATGCTCTTGAAAGTTGAACGAATGGCCAGGATTTGGGAGGCATGAGCAATCCATATACGCTGACCCAGTCCTTCCTCTGTTATGGGACGCCGCTATGCACCGCTTCGTCAATCGGGACGGTGCATTACGTATCTCCGCCGGGTCGAACCTTCGGGATCACCTCCTATATTGCACAGGGTTGGTTTACCAATTAGTGATCTAGTGATCACCGAACAGAACAGCTTTCCGAATCTGTGTCTCTGGAGTTTCAATTCCAGAACTACCTTGTCAAGATGATTGCTCTAACGACTTCAGTGCGCAGCAAAGTGCGTTGTCTCAAGCCTCCATACCGACAGATTTCCAAAACTGTTGTCTCCTCGTTGTTCTGACTCTCCGTTCCTCACTGCGGTCTGACACAAGACCGACTCATGCAGCCGTCCAAAACTCATCGATGCAAAGCTGCACGAGCCCGGCACTCCCTTCCACTTGCCATCCTGTTCCACCTCCACCTCATCCGCCAAAAAGTCGATCTCCATCAAGGTGCTGGCCTGTGGCTGCAAGGTTGAAGCAAAGCGAGCAAATCCAAGGCATTCTCGGTCCCCGCGCCTGCCGCAACAGGTTGCCGAGTTGCTTGGTGTCCTGTTCCTCCAGCATCTCCAGCACCGTCGTCGCCTCGCAGGCTCAGAACACGACCCCATCTCTCAGAACTCCCCTACCTGACCATAGATCAACAGAAACTGACCAACCAGGAGAATCTGAAACACGACCGCATTTGCAGTTCTAAAGTCTAGGAACCTCAGCCTTCGCGGTTCATCCGATCTAGGAGTCTAGATCGTATGAAGCAAGCTTCTCATGACGATGGCCACAAACGGGCTGAAACGATGTGCATAACTTCAAGTGAAAACCTTTGATGTCTGACGACACGTTCAAACTAAGCGGACGACAGGTTTTCAGTTGTGCCCACAATGCGAGAACAGGACAAGCTGACAGCTTCAAACGACTGACGGGAATCTGTCGACCGCAATCATCGACCAATTCCTTTTGTGGTGGTGTGGTCCGTGTCTGGGCCACCTCGCTGCTTGGGATGCAAGGCAGATACAGCACTCGGTTGTCATGCAAGCAGCTACATGCCAAACAAATTCTCAAGCAGCTCTTGTAAGAGCTTCGTTGAAAACTGCATGAACCATCAGATAACGACTAACGATTCCGCTTCATTGGGCATACCGCGGCATTCCCTCAGTAGCTTATCAGAAGTCCGTGTGGCCGCTGCGACAGAGCAACTAACTTGCCTGCCCCGATTCGGGAGCAGCCACGACTCTTATCTCAAGGCCCCTTCAGCTGATTCTGGGAAAAACGCTGTAATTACGGGGTGCTTGCATTTCGGAATATGGTGTCTCACCGCTTCTGACGTCAGCAATCCTTTGCGACATTGAACGGGCTGCAATGCAAATCAGCCTGCTTCCTGAACAACGATGGGGCATTGTGACAGGCATCATCAGCTAAACTGCATAGACTGAGCGACCATGTCATGGTGTGTTGGTGTTGAAGAAGTGGCAGTCTTGATTGCCACGCCATGGCAATGCTTACCCGAGGACTTGTTTCCTGCTGTAGCTTCTGCTGTCTCTCATCGGTTGGTGATCAGAACCGATGCAAGCGATTGCAATCCTTCAGCAATTTGTGTCAACGTTGGCAATTTTGAATACCTGCCGTTTCGAGAACACAGTTTGTACAAGCTCACACATCCAGTGTCTGACAGCTAGCAGCATGCGACAAAACAACAGAAGACTGTTCAGCTTCCTATCCGGCATCTATACGACATTTGAAGTCAACACTGGAAAACTTGGAAACACGGCCTAGTTCCGATTGCCCGATGTGCGTCGGTCGGATGAACAACCACAACGGCTGGCCTTCTTTTGACGGAAGCTGTCGCGTTTCTGGTTCGGGTTCAATGCAGCGTTAAGAGCCATGGCTGCAAGATGATGCAATCCCTCACGGCCGCTCTAAAACTGGAACGGCCTTCGCAGACAAAACGGCTGCTGGAATCCGCAGACGACATTAAGTGCGAAACTCAACAAAACTGTTTGGTTTGGGACAGAAGCATCATGCCTAGATGCTTTTGTGTGCGACAAATCCAACCTAAGACGACATGTCAAGTTTATTCTTTAGTCAGCGTGTTCGAAAACATTCTGGTTCGGCAGTGCCAAAGGAGCATTTTGCAATTGTTATTGAGGAACTACTGACGGCACGTGATGCAAGCAAAAACAACCTGAACAAAAACATTGGCTGCATAGCGCTATGCAATAGTCGTCTCTGTGCGAATTTACTACATGCGAGAAAATCATACAGTTTCAGCTTCAGCAGCTACAGTTAGCAAAATTGCGCACCACAGCAAAGGGAGCATCTCTTCCTGCTTCAGAATGAAGCTACCAACTACGGTATCTAGTCACTAGTCGAGCGTGCGGATGGCCCTGAAAGTTGCAAGCAGTATCCTGCGTTTGGGCGCTGCTGGAGGAGGAAGAGGATGGACCGACGCTAAGCCTCTGCCCCTGCCAGCGGCGGTTCGGCTTTGCTGACGCTTGTAGGCTGGCACCCAAAGCACATATGACATGATGTCCAGATTGCGGCGCCTGGGAAACAGCACGGCTGCATCTTGTTTGGCAGGCGGTCCATCGCCCAGGTCCAGTGCATCTTGACCCACAGCTTCCAAAATCCTTTGTGACACAGGTGCTCCTGACGTGCCAGAAGGCCATCGCGGAGAAAGGCATGGTTCCAATCAGCTTGCAGCGCGGTAACAATGGTTTCAAAGATCACAAATAGCCACTGCAAGGTGTCCATAGAGCCTTCTGGGGCCTGCGCCTTGGAACAACGCCACTTCTCCCGCAAAGCTGCTTTGAACAGAGCGAACACATGTGTTGAGACTAACTTAGTTTCCTTAGCGACCTACTTAAGCCCTGGGCAAAGAAGCGCGCGGCCGTTCTTTTCGTCAAGGTGTGCTCGGAATAGTCAGGCGAAGCATAGCATTGCTATGCGGAGCTGCTCTAGCCCCGCTTAGGTGTGAGACGCAAGTGCGATGCTGTGTAGATGTGCGATCTAGCAGCTTCTGCGGTTTGCGGCTAGATTATAGGGAGTGGAGGGCGGGTGAAACTTTGCATGCATGCAGCATGTAGCTTAAGCCGGTCGCTAAGGATGCAGGCAGTGTGGCAAAAGCGCTAAGCTTTCCAAAGAAGTACAAAACACACGTGAACAAAAACACGTAGCGTTCTGACTAACTTAGTTTCCTTAGTTACCCGCAGGACGTCTTCCACAGCCGCAAGAACGAGCGTATCCGACCTCCGCGCAGCCTATGCTCCACCGAGCCGCCGGTATTCGCTCCGAGGCCTCAGCACAGAGCCTTGAGGGGATGCATCATGAGTACCAGGTGCATCCGGACTACGCGCGAGCCTACTATCTCGACAACAACGGCCGCCTACGCTGCATGCTGCCGTGCTCGACTACTCCATTTTGCCCCTTTAATAGCGCGTGTGCAAGGCCTATACATGTGGGTACAGCCGAAACCACTGATGACCATACCGGTCATCAGTGTAGCCGCTGCAAAGAATTCGCAGACCTCAATCGAAGCCCACTCGAGTGGTTTGATGGAGTGCCTAGAGACCTCTTGCCTTGAATCCCATCATAGCCTCCCCGCCTCTTGCCGATGATCGGGCACTACTGCCTGTCGGCTCTGTACTTTACAGCCTACGACTTGCCACGGCGGGGGGAAAAGACTCGACCCAGAATCAGACTGATCTCATAGGAGCGCCTCGGACCGTCACGAGCCTCTCGCACCTGCCGCGACTCAGCCATGTCGGATCTCAGCTCCCTGAGAAACCTAGGAGTGACTCTAGCCAGGACATCAGCACACTGCTGTCATGAACGGAGGTTCACTCGCTGAGGTCTCCTTCACCAGCACACCGGGAGCAACCGGCAAGCACAGTGGAGCCTCTGCCGACGTCTCCAGAGCCGACAGCCAATCAACCGCAGGCTGCCTCTACGTCGCCCACGGCCTCTGCTCCACTCCAGACACAGCAGGAAGGTCACTCGCAGGTGGTGTGCACAGCCAAAAGATTCCGCGCCCGGAGCCACAGCCGACAGCCTCAGTTGCCGCTTCAGTCTGTCTCCGCTTCAACTCAGGAACGGTTAGACCATCGCGACCACGATTCCAGACCTCCCACGCCTGCATCTCCTGCCCTCCAGCCTCAGCCAAAGCCCCCTCCCCCACGCTACGCCCGACCCCTCCGTTTTCAATTGCATCAATCAAGCGGCCTCGCATGCCCTGGGAGCTTCCAGGTCGGGGAGACCCACATGTTCGGACTCGATTTTTTGTACCGGAGCCTAGGTGGTCGGGCAGCCTCATAGGTCCAGCACTGCCCAAACCGTTCCCTATGCTCAGGCCGCCCGCAAGAAGCCTGCGATTCTGCCCACCCGGACCGCCAGCGCATAGACAGCCTAGAGTGCCAGTGACTTTCTCTGTCCAGGACCTCCCCTCAACCAAGGGGAGACAAAATCGATAAGAGACCTAGGCTCAGCCGCGCCCCACAGCCTACACACGCCGTCCCCTCGGGCCCACTACTCAGAGAACACCAGGAGTCAGCAAGAAAACCGGCATGCTGCAACCAGTGGCGTCAGCTTCTGGAGATCCTGGACCCTGGCTGCAGTTCTCTACAACAACACCTCCTGAGCTCCAAGCACTCCGAAAGAGCCTCGCGCCTTTCACAGCCAGCGCAGTTGAGCGCTATCTTTCTTCAGCTCGTCAGTTGATCGACTACTTGCCTTCCACGGCATCGAGATGGCGGCCCTGACCACAGCCCAGTTAGCCGCCTTTTTTGTACGCGTGTGAACAAGGCCTAGAGAAGGACAGGGAAATCTGTCGCCTCGACCCGAAGTCGGCGCTCAAGGCTCTTTCTTGGGTGTCACGCTGGCCGTCGTCATGGCCTGGAAGAGACGCCTTTGCAAAGCCGACTGCCCAGCCGACTTGTGCATTCTTCTGGAAGGATTCCACTTGCCTTGCACGGAGGCCTAAGGTTCGGGGCGCCAAGGCCAGTCGTTTGCAGAGACCCTCACAGGAATCTCTGGAAGGTCGGTTCAGACCCTGTGCGTTAAAAACCTAGGAAGCTCTAG